TGGGTTTCCGCCTCCCCTCTCTCGCCTGGAGGCTGGCCTGTGGTTTGCCCTCGCGGGCTGCCCCACAGTTTGGGGGAGATGGTGGTCCAAGCAGGGGGCAGGAGTCTGAAGCCCTGAGTTCTGTTCCTGCCTCTGCCACTGACTTACTCAGTGACCTTGGGCAAGTCACTGCCCTGCCCTGTGCCTCAGTTTCCCCATCTGTAGAGTGGGCATAATGACACCTGTCCATGTTTGTATAGGGAGAGGAGAGTTTGGTCCAGAACCCCTGAGTTTGGGGACCTTTGGCAGCCAGCGCATGGGCAGTGTCTGGCTGTGCTCTAGCGCTGGGTGGGGTTGGTTCTCTGGGGGGGGGACCATGTTCCACGTGGGTGCCTGGTGCATGGCCCCGAGCGACCGGAGCGAGGTGCTGGAAGTGAAACAGCTCTGATCCCAGGGCAGACGCTCTGCGGGGATCCCGGCCCAGCCCACGCTGGCGTCGACGGCACAACGCTCGTTGCCTTCCGTGGCCGGGCGATGGGGCCAGGGCGTGCTGTGCCGGGGGAGGAGTCTGGCTCGGTGCCACACCCACCCTGTGGAGGGAGCCCTGAATTCCCCGCCCTTAGAGGGGAAGGGTGGTTGGGGGGCACGATGCACTCTTGGCTTGGGGTCCAGCAAGGCTGGTTTGTCTCCCAACAGTGGGCGGGACTAGCAAGCGGCAGGGGCTGTCTGTCTGGCCCCTGGGAGCCAAAATCTCAGGATCACTGTTATTACCACGGTCACGTGCGAGGGCACGAGGGCTCCTGGGTGGTTCTCAGCACCTGCTCAGGGATCAGGTAAGGAGGGGAGTTCGACACGCGGGTGCAGGGGCCGGCCCGGTCTGTGGCACACGACAGAGGAGGGAGAATTCAACCCTTCTTCCTCCTGGCCAGGGTGGTGCGTGGGCGTGGTTCTATCAGGATCACTGTTATTACCACGGTCACGTGCGAGGGCACGAGGGCTCCTGGGTGGTTCTCAGCACCTGCTCAGGGATCAGGTAAGGAGGGGAGTTCGACACGCGGGTGCAGGGGCCGGCCCGGTCTGTGGCACACGACAGAGGAGGGAGAATTCAACCCTTCTTCCTCCTGGCCAGGGTGGTGCGTGGGCGTGGTTCTAGGCACTGGTGAATAGCCACGTGGTGGGCAAAGGCGAGACTCACCAGCCAGACAGTCTACACGTAGCCCCCAGCTGATCCTGGCTTCTGGGGAAATGCTATGGGGAGCTGTGGGTCAGCTGGGATTCCCAAATGCTTATCAGATAGTCGACTAGTCTAACATCCCTGTCCCCGCCCAGCCCTGAGGGACAGGCAGGACGTTAACGTGTCATTAGCCATCGGTGTGTAAGTGCGTTGCTGGGCCAACGCCCTCGCTCACGTTCTTGGTGCTTCTGTCTCTGTTCTGCTCGCCTGGCTCTCTTGGTCAAAGCTGTCCTTTCGCGCCCCGTGGGCAGGGAGCGATCGCCCAGTTCCTTTCCCAGTCACCCCTCTCCTCTCTGTTGCCAGCGGCCTGATCGTGCTGAACGACACTGACAGCTACTACCTGAAACCCCTGGGGCCCCCAGAACCCGAGCACCACGTCATCTATAGGGCAGAGCACCTGCCAATCCGAGGCGGGACCTGTGGGCACCGCGGCCTGGGGGGGAGCAGCGTGGCCGAGGTTGCCAGAGGCGTCCAGCTGGTTCATCGGCGGGTAAGGCTTTGGTTTCCTTTTGCTGCTCTGTGCACAGGGCTGGTGGCTCAGCGGGTGATGTTCCTCCCTCTGGGCTGGGCCGGAGCGCAGTGCACTAGCATGGTGTTAACAGTCCTGGAGGTGTCCTGGTTTGGATGAGACGTGAAACTGACGAGTGTGGGGAGGACAGAACCCATAGCGGGTTCCCTGAGATCCGGGCGGGCTTCTTAGTATCATGGTCCCGTGACAAATCAGCCAATTGCGTACGAGCTGCCAGGGTTCTCCTTCCGGCTCCGTGCCTCGGTTTCCCCATCTTCAAAAGCCCTGCAGCATTGCCCAAGGCACGTGCTCTTGACGATCAGGATGGGGGTTGCTGAGAATTTGCACAGGGCCCCGTCTCCAGCCCTGGCTGCCTTTTCCTCCTGTCTGGTGACGTGTGTGCTTTGTTGTGCAGGCCAAGAGGGACGCCTGGAGGACCCTGAAGTACATGGAGCTGTTCATCGTGGCTGATTACACCCTGGTGAGCACTTAACTCTCAGACACTGGCTCCGACCCCCCCGCCTGTCAGGGAGGGAAGCTGGGACAGAAGAGCCAGGATGTCTGTCTGTCTTTTGGGTTTTTATGTTTGTATCTGTCCTTTGGAACAGCCGCGACTGAGCATATCCATCCATCATTATATCCACTCTTAGCCTTCCTTTTGTATCCAGGAGATACTGGCAATTATTACTTTATAAGGCCCACAACCAGTGGTCCCTCTAATTTTTCCCATCACTGTGTGGAATAAATTTTGTTACTTGCACTGAGGTATGGGAGGGGGTGAAGAACCCCAGAAAGGGTTACTCAGGGCCATCTTATTCATTGCTCAGCCCCTCTGTATTACAGGCAAAGTAGCCACGTCGCCACCAGCAGCAATAACACTGTCCCTCAGCCTTGCTAAAGGACTTACATGTCCCCCCCTCTCTGCAGTATCCGGATGCCTCACGTCTGTTCATGTATTTTCCCCTGTGTGGCAGAGCGAATGTCCCCATTGTACAGTGGGGGACCTGAGGCATAAGGACACTAAGTGACTTGACTAAGGGCAAATAGGAAAACGGTGGCAGAGAAGAAGATTGAGCTAAATCCCCTCAAAAGTCACGCCCCATTCTGGTCAATGTCATGGCCCTGGGATTTGAAAATTAGTTTCACATTTGCAGATGTTTGCTTCTGACATTTCAGGATGCTGTAGTAACTATGGGGGTCCCGACCCCAGGGGGGAATCACAAAGCTGTTGTAGAGGGGCTGCGGGGTTGCCACCCTTCTTTCTGTGCTACGCTCAGAGCTGGGCTCTGAAGGCCTCTGCAGCCGCAGGAGCTTGCTGGCGGTGGGGGTGGGTCTCATCTCCCCCATGCTCCTGGGAGCACCCCAGCTAGTCCCGGTCGAGCCAGGGAACAGCGTTCCCTGTGAGATGGGCGCTCGTGTGGCTGCTCAGGAGAAATTCCAGTACCGCCTAGCTGATTAGCAGAGCGCCTACAGCTAGGGGTTTTCCCCCCTCCTGGTGGTGCACATGCCTCGGTGCACATAACATTTATTCTGCACATGGATGGAAGAATCCACATGGATGGAAAAGGTTAGCGGGAACGTTGCGACAGTCACAGGATTTTCCCTTCCCCTGCCTGGGCGCTTTCCGCAGGAGATCAGACCCATTTCTGGGTACCACCCCGGGTCAAGCAGAGCCACATTTCTCAGCAAATCAACGATTTGTCTGAAAACCTTCGCCCAGCTTTCTCCATAGCCCTCCCCCGTGTCTCCCTTCCACTGCCTGCTTTGACTTTCCTCCAGCCCATCCTCCGGGGCAAAGAGAATCGCAGGTGCCCAGCTCTGCCCCCCGGTCACATCCCTCGAGCTGGCGCCGTATGGGTCTTGTGGGGCACCGCTAATGCCCGCCCTGGACGTGCTGCGGGCTGCGGCCGGGCTGCCTCGCGCCAGTGGCAAAGCGACAGGAGACGTGAGATTTGGGGGCATGTCCGTGGCTCGGAGGATCAGGCTCACCCGTCAGTGCTGAGAGGGGTCTAGAAAAGCCAGCGTGAAAGGACGGGCGTTAGGCATGCTGAAAGGAAGCTGCCAGCGCCCTGTCCCCATCGCTGCCTTGGAAGGGCTCAGAGAGCTGGTTTCTAGATAGGACGCGCCCTATACCCGCACGTGGCAGGTCTGAACCAATCTCCGCTGGCTACGGGGCCGGTCGAGACCCGGTCGCATTGTAGGGCGCTCCTGGGTTGTCGAGATCCTGCCCGGCCCTTGGGATCAGGGAGCTGTTACCCGTTCTCTTGCCCTCCCCTCCCCGCTCGGCACGAGGGGGCCCAGAGACTGAGGTCCACGGTTCCCACACGGTTGTGCAGGGGTCAGCTGGCTCTGACTCCCTTGGCTTTCCATGCCAAGCCAGTGAACTCACAGACTCCTGGCCTGGCAGTGCGGCACTGGCTAGTGTCATCTGGCTGTTCCAGGTGCTGAAGAGGGCAGCCCATCCTCCACATGGTCCCTGAACCACTACGATGGGGCCCCTGCTGGGCATTAGATCGAGGCGCTGGCCTGGGAGAAGCACAGGAGGACTCTAGGGGCGCAGCTGGGGTCCTGCAGCAGTGCCGTGGGGCAGGGCAGGGACTAACAGCCCACTCGGCCAACGGGCAGGAACCACTCCCTTCCTGCAGGGTGCTGGATGGCAGGAAGAGCCGCTCGCGAAGGGCGCTAACCTAATCTACGCGTTTCCCCTGCTCACACTAACCGCCACCACCCTGGTCTCGGGCACAGCCGCTCCTGCGGTCAGGGGTCATTTGGCCAGTGGCCGCAGCGCCCCTCAAGCCCCCTTGTGGGTGATGGTAACGGCCCCCCCTCTATCGACTGCGCAGAAACTGCTGTGAGATCCACCCCCACCAGTCCCGTGTGCCAGCTGAGCAAGGTGCCTTAGTCGTGTTGCTTAAGGAGGGCCTAAAATCCGCCTGCTGCCTGGCCCAAAGCCCTCTCCTGCTCCTCTCTCTCCAGTTCCTCAACCAGAATCGCAACCTGGGCCGCACCAAACAGCGTCTCCTGGAGATCGCCAACTTCGTGGACAAGGTACGAGCCGGAGTGGGCGCCGCGGGTGTGTGTACAGCACCCGGCTCGCTGCGCCGAGCCCCCGCGCCGCACAGGCAAGCCTTCGCCGGCGTCACCGGCCTGTCCCCCGGTCCCCAGGGTGTCGTGTCTCCGTTGAGTCGCAGGCCGCTCGGTGTGGATTCAGCAGCCTGCTCTCCGGGCGGGGAGGGCTCTCCCTGACACAAGCCCTGCCCCTGTGTCGAGGCGCAGAGCTAAGGTTTGGCCCTTCCCTTAGGGCAAAGACGGGGAACCTACGGCCCTGGGGCCGGATGCAGCCCCCCAGGTTGCCTGGATCCGGCCCCCGAGGCTTGGGGCTCCCCCCCCG